AATTAGTTTTGGACACAAACGGTTAACTGGAGCAGAACAGTTAACAGGTGTTTTTGGACACCGGTTAGTAACCGGTCATGTCCAACACCTGTCTCTATATTTATCTCCACATAATATCACTAACATCCCTCCACCATTTAATTGCAAAAAATTACCATTCGATAAATTACAGTTCCCATCTTTTTCACATTTATATTTGTTTCTTGAAGTAATACAACGATTAAAAAATTGTTTACAGCCTGAAAACAGTAATTGAATTTTTAAATTTAGTCAAGCAAACTACCATCACAACAAATTACTCCATAATAGAGATATCCACTAGCTATACGTTCACAGATACTACATTTAGTTTTTGTTGCCACTTTTCGAACTTTTAAATTTTTATTTTTATTCTCTTCAACTTTTTGATTCTCAACTTTAATTTCTTCGTTATTTTCTTCAATATCACTTAAATCTTCAAAATTTTGAAGGCCTTCATTTCCCATTACTTCATTGAATCCTTCATTGATATAATTTGTTAATGACATATTAAAATTGATTTTAGTATTAAATAAAATTTAAATTCCTGTGTAAACAATTTGAATTAAATATTTATTTTATTTTATTAAATTCCAACTGGCTAGCATTTAACGCTTGATTGACAGGAATTGGAAAGGAGAGACCTTTCTTGCTGTAATAGGGTTGTTGGTTTGGAAACGAACCGAAGAACTGCAGATTTTCGCTCCTTCAGTCCAAAAATGAACAACTCTACTGTTAAATGAGAGAGGTCCTGGTTAATTCCATCCCTATTTGTTAAGCCTTGCTTAAACCTTAATTTATCGTAAATGTCCTAATATATGCCCTGGTTTAAAGTAAAGCATTTATTAGAGGCTCTTCATTAATATGCATACATATTGAAACACTCGGGGACGGACATTTAAAGACAGACATTTAGGGATTGGGGACTGACATTTATATCACTCGATATTGTTTTTTGAATATTGTTTTCAAATTTTTAAATTAAAATTTTTTACTCAAATACAGCCCCTAAATGTCTAATCCCCAAATTTATGTCCCCAATCACCAAATGTCCGTCCCCGTGTCGTAGAATCGAAAAAAGTGCAGGGCTTCTATTAGAACATTTACATTATATATAAAAATTATATACCAATGTTAAATTAATTGAGTTTTAAATTTTGTTCTGGAATAAAATAAAATTTTATTTTACACATTTTAAATAAAAAATATTAATTTGAAATTATAAAGTGAGTTAAATAAAAATGAAATAAAATCATTAAAATAAAATATTTAAATGTTTGTTCAGGTTAGATTTATGCTTTGCGAAGAAAAAAATAATTTAATAAAGGAGATTAAATACAGTGAAACGGACGCTTAAAAAATTTTTCGATTGTTGACAGCCTTGCAATAGAAAATCGAAATATGTAGTATAAACTTATGCCAATCCAGGTGAATTGGGATCCCTGCGAAGAAAAAGTTTATAAATAAGAAGAACGATTTTCTATGGTAAAAATACGAATTTGAGCTCAAAATAATAATCTACCAAATCATCAAAATTCAGTCCTTCAACAGCACAATTATTAGATTTTCCTTGAATATATTTTCCTTTACTAGCAAGTTCTCTACGTTTATTTTGAATCATTGTTTGTATTTCCAAAACCTTTTCGGGTTGCCTCCCTTTTGTTGTTTGAATACACATTCCCTTTAATATGCATTTATCGAAACGGCAACTTTTGCAGACATTAATATCTTTAATTAGTGTTTTAGATATTATTATGTTTTTATTATTAAATAAATAAAAAATCTTTCATTTTGGCGCCAAAAATTCAAATTTTTTCTAAAATTCGAAAATCGTAAATCGAAAGAAAAACCCCTCAAAAACCGAAATTTCGAAATAACTCTGATCCGTATACGCATATTTACGACGGATACAGACGGATACAGGCGGATATTCGCAGGCAATTTGATATTATCTATATCCGTATCCATAAGCAAGTCTGCTTAATTAAACGACAATCTATAAGGGCAGCTAAGCTAGGAAAGTCTTATTTTCTAAAATAGTCTCCATTATGTTTGGACACAAACGGTTAACTGGAGCAGAACCGTAAACAGGTGTTTTTGGGCACCTGTTAGTAACCGGTCATGTCTAGCCCTGGTCCCTTCTGGTACTTATTTAGTTCCCCCCCCCCCCCCCCCCCGTCAGTTTTTTCGAAAATTATGTAAAAATGGTCAGTCTGAACAACAATTGTAGAACACATCGAACTGTGTCGAATGAGACCAAAATAAACGAAATCCGACTTGATTTGACAAAGTTATGACATAAGTCGTCGACTCCGGTAGGTCTAAATAATGTCATAACTTTGTCAAATCTTGTCCGATTTCGTTGATTTTGGTGTTAGCCGACTCAGCTCGACGAGCTCTTTCGAATGAGCTATCATTTGGGTAAACTTTTTTTATTTCGAAAAATCACCCCCATGGTTGTTCAATTTTCAGGGGTCTGTATTTCGGTCAAATCAAGTCGGATTTTGTTGATTTTGGTCTCATTCGACACAGTTCGATGTGTTCTACAATTGTTGTTCAGACTGACCATTTTTACATAATTTTCGAAAAAACTGACGGGGGGGGGGGGGGACTAAATAAGTCCAATGAAGTTTTACGAGTCCCATGAAAGTTTATGAGTCCGATCAAAGGTTTATGAGTCCAATGAAATTTTATGAATCCAATCAAAATTTTGACTATATGAAAGGAGTGCCTCAGATCATATTTTTTCTTACTTCCTGAGACCATGTCGTAATGGTCAATTTTCCTTAGTATTTAATGTTTGTCGTAAGGTGATTTAGTAATCACTGAACCATTGTCAATGCCTTAAGTATATAAAAATTAGAATTTAACCGGAAATTCCGGTTCCGGAAAGTTCCGGCGTTTTTTGGTTCCTTGAACCGGAATTCAAATTGGATCCGGCTGCGGTTCATGAATCGATTCCGAGCAATCCTGAACTTTTTTACACCACTAAGGATTTGTTTTTTTAATATGGGTTGGCCTTGCAATATTCCCACCGGTTTGTATTTTTCATTGGACTCATAAATTTTTGATTGGACTCATAAACTTTTGATCGGACTCATAAACTTTTGATCGGACTCATAAACTTTCATGGGACTCGTAAAACTTCATTGGACTCATAAACTTTCATTGGACTCGTAAACTTTCATTGGACTCATAAAATGTCATTGGACACATAAACTAGACCAGAACCAAAATTTTTTGTTTATAGGAAATATTATTGCAGTATTCACATGCATTCGCATGCAAATATATTTTGACCGTTCCTTAAAAAGGAATTACGACCGTTCTAAGAGTTTATCGCTCGATCCTTATCTTTATTTGTTATTACTTTTTACTGTTCCCTTGACCTGTAAACGTCCCCTATAAATACTCATTCCAAATGGTCATTAATATATTATATCAGATTGGTTATTTGATTTGTCCACTTATGTATTTTTTCCGTCCGTACATATTAGTGATGTTCGGGTATCCCGACTCCCGACACCCGACTCGGGAAATTTCCCGAGTTTTTGGCCTCCCGATCCCGACCCCGACTCCCGATGTCAATTCCCGACTAAGTCGGGAAATTTTTACACCCCTAAGAATGGCTTTTTTGATAAAATTTTACTATTTTTGAAAGGAAAAAAATAAAGAAAAAAAGGAAAGGGAAAATAAATAAAGAAGAAGGGAAAGAATATATTTAAAATTTTTCCATATACCTCTTGTAGATCGATGGTTTAGTGGTTAGGTTGAGTGACTTCACTTACTAAAGTATTTTGATGGGGCTGGGTTTGTGTCCAGCGTTGGGAAATGTGAGGTAATTGACTCTTTTTTCAAAAATAAATTTTTTTAGCTTTGATTTTCATTTTAAAATTGCAAATTTTTTTTTAATAAAAGAGTGAAAAAACTCTAAAAATTAATTTAGTCATGGATTCTCATAAATTTCTGTCCGCGGCGAAGAAAAATTGAAGAAAGCATACCAAATTTTTAAATTTTCGCTTCAGCGCAGAAAATGAAGAATATCTGGGCTCTTAGCCTTCCAAATTTCTCAAAATTTTCGCCTGCGGCGCTGAGGAAAGAAGAACTCTGGCTTCTTGGCCATCCAAAATTCTCAAAATTTTTGCCTTCGGCGCTGATCGAGGAAAAATTTGACTTCTTGGTCTTCCAAATTTAAAAAAATTTCGCCTGCGGCGCAGAAAAAAGATGAATCTAGCTCCTTGTCTTTCCTACATATTATCAAAATTTTCGACTCGGCGTTGAAATGGAAGAAATTTAACCGCTTGGCCTTCAAAAATGCTCAAAAATTTCGCCTGCGGCGCTAATAAGGAATATGTCTGGCCTCTTAACCTTTCAAAATTCTCATAATTTTCACTTGCAATGCAAAAAACCGGAATTTTTTGACGCCGAAGGCGGCATATATTAGCAAATATTTATGTGTAGCTAAAGTATTTTACAATAAAAATTGTTTAATTCTCGAAAGGCCTCGGAATCTGAAGCTATTAATTATTTAAAAATAGCCGAATTAAACAAATAGAAAAAAAAAGTTCAGAATAAAAAAATTTTTAAAATTAACTTTGTAAACTAGAATAATAAACATGTAAGTGAATTTCAAAAATTACATAGAAGAAGAATCAAAAAAATTAAAATTGGGTATTTTCAAGTCTAAGAGAAGTTAATAAATTCCACTCTAGTTTGACTCTCTGAGTTTTCCCTTGATGTACATACATAATGATCAGATTTTATCTTTTATTAATAATGCCTCATTTTAGTATGCTAAAAAATATAGAGAAGGAATTGAAGAAGTAATCAGCTTGACTATTAAATACATTTAAGATAAACTCTGAGCTACAAACTAAAGGGGGGGGGGGTATCCATAAGTACCTAAAAGCGATATATTTAGCAGTGTCTCACTATTAATTTGTTGAATAAATATTCTAATTATTAAATCAACAGATCCAAAAATGTTTGCCTATTTATTTATTCCTCTGGTAATTATTATTTCTTCGAGCTGCAGCCATGGAGTGCAGTTAAACCAACAATTTACAGGCTCCTTCACATTTTATACCGGTAATGGATTTGGTGCTTGTGGCCAGCAGATTAATGCAGATACTGAAATGCTGGCTGCTATTAGCCATACACAATGGACTAGTGGAAATCCAAATAATGATCCAATTTGCCGTAATATCTGCCTTAAAGTTGATTATAAAGGCAAAAGGTAGACATTTAGAATTATCAACTCTTATACGGAAATAATTTTATTTTTAGTATCACAGTCCCCATCAAAGACAAATGCCTAAGTTGTAAATCAACAGACGTCGATTTGTCAAAAGCTGCTTTTGCACAGCTTGAAAATTTGGCAGTAGGGCGTGCTAATGCTGTATTTACATATGTTCAATGCTGATGGATTGATATAATTTGAAAAAAAGAAATTAGAAATATATAAAGGAAGAATAAGAATTAGTTAATGAAAGAACTATTAATGTTTAGCTAAAAAATTCTGATATTAGCTGCCCATGAATATAACTGAATAAAAGCTTAAAAAATTTTTAAAAGTTCTGATAAAAAATTTGGCAATCAGGGTAGGGTGCCAAAAAGGACCGACTCGGACCGAAAGATCGAGTCGCACCTAAAAAATTTGAAAAAGACGTACGGCACTGATAAAGTAGGCCCGTTGTGACTCCTAAAAGCCCGACTCAATAAAAATAAAGCCAGAAAAATGATTCGACCTTCGGTCCGACTCGAATACGTCAATCCTAATAAGGGCACTAATTAAGCTTAAAATTGTCGTTTGCGTTGCAAAGTAAAATTAGGTTTCAGTTGAAAATTGCTTGTGAGAAATAAATATTTCAAAAATAATGTGTGCAGTACTTTTATGTCATCCTGCATATTTAATTTAAAGTGATTGATCACTCGATTATTTGATCATCGCTCTTCACCTGATAAGAGATGATTCTCGAACGATTTTCTCGATTTATACTTTAATTTTTTGATCAAATCAAAAAATTTACTCAGAAGCCATAATTCCCCGGCCTGAAATTTAGAATCAAATTTTCCGAACCCTCACTTGGAGCCCAAAATTCCGCTGGATCCTAAATTCCGAAAAATCTTAGAACCAACATTTTCGTTTCGGGTACTAAGCCAAAATTTTCCATTTCTTTTGATTCTTATGTGCGCATATTTAGTCTCGGTCCTCGGCGAGGTTCTAGGCAGGACCGAGACGAGGTAGGCTTGTCTTGTATTTGTTGTGATATCAAAATTTAATACTGTCTCTTTTTTCTTATCCAATTTTGTTTATCTTCTATATTCATCAGGCTATTAATTAGCATTTATAGATGTTCGAGAAAAAATATCAATATTTTCGAAAATATTTTTGGAATTTTGTTCAAATATTTCTGAGCAATATTTATAAAAAATACACTTTGGCAAACCTAACAAAGCAAATAAATTTTAAGCTAAACGTGGTTCTTATCAAAATAAGAATTAAACAAAGTAACAAAACAAACAAATAAGCTATAATAAAAATTTTTTAGAATTTTTCTGTTTTTAATTTTTAAATTTTTTTGAATAACATGTAATAAATTTTAAGAATAGAATTTTATAATTCAATAAATAATAATTATTTCAATTAGTGTTAGTTGATGATGATGAGAGTTGATGATCAGTTAATGATGATAGTTGATGGTCAGTTGATCATTGGCCAGTACTCCACTGTTTACGGATATCGGTGTTTTCGAGCTCCAATTTAAAGCTCGAGTCAACTAGAAAGATCAGTTTTGGATCTGAAAATGAACCCGAAAATATGTGTCAAACTTTAGTTTAAACTAGGGTTTGACCCCGAACGCTCGGGGGCGGGTATGTCGGGGTACGGGGTTTTCGAATTGTTTCGGGGCGGGGTTCGGGTCGGGAGAGCAAAATATGGTCGGGGTTCGGGTCGGGGTACGGGGTTTTAGGAAAAAATTTTTTAAAGAAAAAATGCTCTAAAAATGAGCCATTTTGGGTCTATTTTCGTTAATATATTCACAAATTAATGAGAATAAGGTGTGATTAAATGGAAATAAGAGAAATTTGAGTGATTAATTGGATCTGGAGGTGATTAAGGAGGATTTGGAGGGATTAAAGCGGTCCTTGGGTCTTCTGTCACTACGCCGTTTCAAGGGATATCATTGATTTAAGGGTTATCGAGTGATTAGGGATTTGGAGGATATCAGTGTAACTCTTTCTTTTCTGCGCCGCAGGCAAAATTTTGAGAATTTCATAAGTCCAAGAAGCCAGATTTTTTCGTTTTTCGCAGGCGAAAAATTTTTAAAATTTTTTAGGTCAAAAAGCCGGATGTCTTCGCTTATTTTAGCGCTGACCAAGAAAATTTTTGAAATTTTAGCTAAACAAAAAATCTTTACATTGTTTTTTATAGTTGATAATATTTAAAAATAAGATTTACATTTTAAATTAAAATTAAGTTCTTGATTTTGTAAAGAAAAATCCCAAAACAAACGAGCCCAGCTTATTTAGATCCGAACCCAACCCTATATTAATGGAAATATAGGCTAAAACCAACAACTAAGCCACTCAACCACTAGTCTCTTAACATACAAGGAAAAAGAATCATGATATTTCTTTCATTTTTCTTTCAAAAATAATAAAGGCAAAGTAAATTGTGAGGAAATTTTAAAAATTTTTCTCTTAAAATTCTCCCAAAAACGGCATTTTTTGGTATATAAAACCCCCGATAACCCCGAAACTTTTCGGGTCGGGGTACGGGGTTTTCACTTTTTTTCGGGGCGGGGTTCGGGTCGGGGAGAATCGTGAAAAAATCGTTCGGGAACGGGGTCGGGGTTCGGGGTACGGGGTCGGGGTCAAACCCTAGTTTAAACTACTCAATACAGAATGAATTCGAGATTTGTAAAGGAAAAATAATTTTTATTTCAATAAATCTCCATAGGGTTTTTTAAATTGAGAAGACAATTAATAGGTTAAATAATCAAACAATTTATTAAATAAAAAAAATACATAAAACGTGTAATATTTTTAAATTTTTATTTGTTTGTTTTCTCCAAAATTAATATAAAATTTATTAATAAAATGCATCAAATAATAAAAAGTATTTTTATGAAACGTGGATTGTAAGCTATAAAGGTTGTTTTCGAGAGTATTGTTAAACTAATATAAATAAATATAAAAAATCTTCTAATAAAAAATAAATATAAAAATTCTACTAATATAAAAAATCTTCTCTTCAGCCTATTTGAATAATCTGCCTTTGACCACTAAAGTCGTAGAAAATATTTTTTATGTAGTAAATTTAAAAAAATAAATTAAAAGTCTAGAATTATTTAAATAAAGGTTAATTATCGGCCTTTCTCTTTTAAGTAATAAACTTTTAATTTAATTTAAATTTATTTCATAATATGATGAAATAATAAATGTAAATACACGTGAAATAAAAATTATTTTAAAAGTCTTGTAAATGCACTTTAATTAACTAATTCGTTGAAAACTTAAAGGAAATGCTAGGTTATTTTCACATGTTTTTAAATTAAAGGGCAATCGCGAGACTTCCTCTATAAAACTTAGAAATATTCAAAGTGCATGCATTCCCCCAAAATATTTTCCATTTAAGCACGGAATTAAGTGAGGAAAAAATCAAAAATAAATTCAAAATTCAAACAACTAAAAAGCCCCCAAAAATGATATTTACTCAACGCAACTTTACTCGATTAATGTTTATGATGATGGCAAAAGTGTGGGGAGTAAATGGAGGTGGAGGTGCAACTGCCCCGATTTCCGCGTTCTCTTCAGCCTTTGTGCCACCGATGCATAATAATATGCCTCTGAAAAAATCGCCAACGAATCTCCACGTTCTAGCGCTTAATTCAGGGAAGAAATCTTTTCCGGCTGTTCAATCAAAACATTCGTTTGATAATCCTAAATTTGCAATGAAGCATAAAAATGCTCTTGTATCGAATTTAGGGGAAACGATTGGAGAAGAAAAAAATAAAGTTGTTGCCAATCAAGAAAAAGATATTCGTCTACTTAATGGCGCCGAAACGTTGCCGATAGCATCGCGTCGCCTTTTGTTAGAACCGAACAAATTGAAGGCATTTGATTTAAGCAAAGAACCGTTGAAGACTTTTGATCACGCAAACGCAGAAATGATCATTAGACACGCTGTTCCAGAAGGTATTTTTACTCATTAATAAAAGTATTAGCACTTCAGTTATTTTTTGAGCTCTGATTACTACTCGGTTCCAAAATTTAAACCGATCTCAATATTTCATGTCCCATTCAATTCTTATAATAATTTTTTATAATTATATAGGGCGAAAGGATAAACAATAGTTAATATCGAAATGAATTTTTTAATTTACAGCTGTTGAATTAGTTAACTTTTTAGAGTTGCAGGGATGATTCACCTAGTAGCATTTACAACGCTTAGGCTGGGGTTAAACGATCTAAAAGGGAAAAAAAAGAAAGCATTAGTCGATGTCCTGGTAGTTCAATTGTAAAGCTCCTGTAGGTGGTGAGCGAATCCTGCCCTGTGGCTAAACTTATGCTAAGGTCTTTTCTATAGGTGAAACTAAGTTTTAAAATATCCCTTGATTAAATTGCAGACTCTTTCTGAATAGAGGGAGTATATACCTTTGTTTTATTTTCTTAAATCAAAGTTTTTACACAAACTTTTTAAATCTAAAAATAAAAAAATTAGACATTTAAATTAGGTTTGTACCAAAAACCCTGATCTTTTCTAAGCAAAATTAGAAAGTAATTTTGAGTTAAAAATGATTTTATTTTTAATTAATTAAACAAAGATGCCACCCAAATGCGTCAATTGGCAATTTCTTTAATAAATTCTGCAAATGTTAAACCAGAAATTGAAGTTGACCAAATTGAAAAAGATTTACAGGAAGGTTTTGTGCATGCTTTAGTTATTGAAATTAAGGAAGAAAAAAAGATAATTGGTTATCTTTCATATACAATTTGTTCCTCATTAAATGGAGGGAAGGTTTAAAATGATAAAAAAAATATTTTTAATAAAATTAATTTATAGGTTGTATATTTGGGTGATTTAATTTGTGAAATTAAATATAAAGAACTTCCAGTAAGATTGTATGCAGAACTTGCAAAGGTGTATAATAATAATAGGGTTATTGGTGACCGGCCTTTGAAAACGAAGCTCGAAATTTTCTAAGATGGGTGATTTTTTCTTAAAGAAAATTCCCCAAAATACAACCAATATTTAGCTAAAACTCAAAACAGAAAACCGGGTTTTTTAAATTTGGATAAATCAAAACGGAGCGTATCTGGGTATCGGTTAATAACTGGTCGCCAAAAACCCTGATTTATAAATTGAAAATATTTTATGAAAATATTAAAGTTGTCAGCTAAAAGTGAAGAAATAAAAGAAATTCAAGCTATAGCCAACAGCAAATCTGTTGGATATTTTCTCTTTCCAGGAATGGATATTGTGCCAAAAGAAACTTTTTGGCAATTACATTTAAATGATAATGAAGTAGAGAAAATATTAAAAAATGGAATGAATGTACTTTGCGGGACTTTGGTTGGGGGGGGGGGTTTGAATTAATTTAAAAATTATTTTATAGAAATCAACCATTTATTTGCCTGGTAAATTGAGTGGAGATGAAGCAATTTATCTTATTAAACAATGGAAAGAAATGAACGGAGAAGGTAAATTATAATAAGAGAGAGGACTCCGAGCAGGCACTGAACCTGCAACCTCCTTGCAGTTATGGCTAGGAGCTTTCGCTCCTGCCTTTAGAGCCCGGCTCGATACGATATTTTTTCGATATTTGGTTTCGATAATTATCGGAAAATATCGACCAACCCCCCTCCGGCCGGGCTCCACTCACTATGTGCTTGTGCTTAATAGTCTTAAACCTATCAGTGAGCGTATTAAACCTAAGCAAGCTTAATCTTCCTTTTCCATTACAATTAGATAAGTGAGTGTGTAAAAACATTTAACGGATGTCAAAAAGTATTATTGGTGGAGTTAAAAACTTGACTATATCTTCACAAAGCTTTACCGCTAATTTTTAATAATAAAAAATATCCAAGATGAATCAACGTCAAATTTAACGAATTTACTAAGAACTGGTCAGGTAGGAGCAGTAACTGTCCATTTAGATGCTCGCCCCTCAGTTGTCAGCATGCTTTTCTTTCATGGAAATTATTATTCTTTGTGGGATGGACAAGTAATTAATTTTTAAAATTAAAAAAAATAATTTTAATTTTAAAGAGTATTTGGGTAGATAAAATGTCTTTTTCCCCCTTACATTTTGATTGTCATATTCCAAATGCAATTTCTGCAATGTTTGGAAAATTGGTTGAGGTAGGTCAGGAAAATAGTTGGAAATAAAAAATTTAAATTAAGCTTTCAAATGCAATAGGAGCAAAAAGAATTGGTTGGATTTTTAATGAAGAAACAAAAAAGAATTTTTATGAAATTATGGAAAATGTAAAAAATAATAATTTTTATAAAATTAAAAAAATTTATTTTTAAAAAGATTGGAGCTATAAATATGACAAAACAAGAGGATTGGCATATTTATCGAAGCAACAAATCAGAATTTTCTGAATATTTGACAACTACTGGAGATAATTATATGAAATTAGATGAGACACACAAACAACGAGCGAATGAATTGTTAAAGAAACAAAGAGCTCGAGAAATGAAAAAACTTCAACAAGAATGAAAGTAAAGGAAGTTTTCTAAGAGTAAAAAACAAAAGTGCGCGCATGTTTTGATTGGCAATTTTTTAAAAAATTTTTTGGCGCACCTCTTTGATACTTTCTATATTTTAGTCATTTTTTCTTTGGATATCCGTATCTATATTTTCAAGATATCCAGACTTTTTTATCCGGATATTCTGATTCGACAACTCTATTCTTTAATAGTTTTTCCAAACAATTTTTTATGCATATTGCATCTTTCCATTTTTATTATAGTAATATTTTGAATAATGTTAAAATAAATAAATTTTTATAAAAATATTTCTTTTAATATATTCCAAATAAATTAAGGATTGAAAAATATTTAACTAACATTCCCAACGACCCCGCTTAGCATAACCAATATACTCCAGAGATAAGCAAAGGAAAGAATCAGCATATTAGTCAGCCCAGTAATCATTATATTACTGTATATTACTTTCTTTCTTAATCAGCTATTACTTTCTTAACTTTCTTTCTTAATCAAGTCTAAAATTAAACTCAATAGTAAAGTTGTGCGGAAAATAAAGAGTGGCACAATACCTCGTCTGACTCAATTGAGGAGGGACAGGAGAGATTCGACCAGATCAAATCAACTCCTTAGGTGTTAGCGGGCAACGGAGATCTTCAATCTCCAGAAAACAAATTCCTTAGAAAAACACACAAAACACAGAAACACAATAAAAATGTTTATTTAGTTAAAATAAGATTAAAAGTGAAGTGCCTCGGGGGAATAAAAGCCGAGCACAAGTTTGGGCTGCCGGTCAACAAAGCTGGCCCTTGTGGTCTCAAGTATTAAAATATGGGCAAGTCAAAAGTTGGTGATAATTGATTGGCAGAGCTCAGGGAGCGCTGGCAATAAAAGGGTAAGCAAGTAAAAGGTGGAAACAATTCAAAAGCAAGTTGGAAAATGGTAAAAGCAAGTAATGGAAAAAACAACAAGTGATGGACAAAACAAGTGGTAGTAAGCAAGTAAGAAGCAAGTCAAAGCAAGTAATTAAAGAGAAAAGGCCAAAACATTATATAGGGGTAAAAAATGGGCGTACACAAATAGATTTTAGGAGAATAAATAAATGTGTAAAAAAGTGTGTTTTGAGCGGGGAAAGAAATAAAAGTTAAAATATTAATTAATAAAATTAAAATGGGATTTTAAGTGCCCTTTGGGCACAAAAGTAAAATATATTTTAAACATTATTTACAACACTAAAAGTCATAAAATTTACAAGAAAAATCCTATCAAAAAATTTTTTCTTTTTTACATCTTTCTATATAAATTATCAACAATTCTCTCAATTTGTTCAAATGAAGGTCGCTTATCCCTGTCTTCATCAAATTTCATACAATCCTTCATTAAACTAACAAAAGCTACAGGCATTCCATCGGGAGTATTTAATCTCTTCCTTTTAGACTTGGGAACATTAATGACTTGCTCGTAGACCTAGACAATGAAAAATTTTTAATAGAGGTTCACGCCAGGGATGTGCGACATGACGCTTGACGTCCGTCCATTTTTGGCGTTTGGCGTGTTTTAAAAATTTGAAAAATTGGCGTTTGGCTTTCGGCGCGCCCATTTTGGCGCACATCCCTGATTCGCACATTTTAAACCCCCACCTTTTGCCCACTCCATTTAGCATAAGGAAATTCATATGGACGACTGAAGACTTCAAAAAGGGTTATACCAAAAGCTAAAAATTCTTTTAAATTTTTTAAAAATAATCTTAAAGCCACCATAAACATCAGTCAATTTGTCAACAGATTTGCTTCTAAAGGAATCCGGATCCAACCAGCGAAGATTTGTTGGTTGGTTTACGTCAATTGTATGTTTCTGACCACGCTTACTTAACCCAAAATCGGCTACCTAAAAAAGTAATTTTAAAAAGGCTTCTCCTCTCAGACACACCTTTACTGTCATATTATTTATTGTCTTAGAACGTCCAGTCCAATTAATTAATAAATTTCGAGTAGCCAAATCCAAATGCAAAAATGGAGGATTTTGTGAATGCAAATACTTCATGCCTCTAGCAGCGCCAAGAATTATTTTTGTTCGCATTTTGTCATCGCTATCTGCTCCTTCCTCTTTTAAAAAATTGTCCACAGATTTTCCATTAATGTATTCCAATACGATACTGAATGGCTGAAAAAAAGGAAAAATTTTTTTAAAAGCTTTTCTTCAGGAAACTTAGAAACAAGGAAAACTCCGAAAAGAACGTTCACCCTGGAGTTGCCGTTTTCGAGTCGGGCCGACGGTCGAGTCATTTTTCTTGCTTCAATTTTACCGAGTCGGGCCGTACGAATAGTTTTCGGACCAAACTTCTGCCCGACTCGATCTTTTCCGTATCGGTCCATTTTGGGAACCCTCGTCCACTCCCCATAGAAAATTTTATACGTGCCTGATTTATTTCTTGGAAGAAAGAAACTAGTGTTGGGGTTTTCGAGTCGGGCCGATATTCGCGTCATTTTTTCGGGCTTCATTTTTATCGGGCCGGTCCGACCGAGTCTGTTTCGGGTCTCGATCTTTGGACTGGACCCCCAACCCTAAAAGGAACCCGATTAAAGAACTTTGCCTTTTGGCGTTCATCAAAAGCGATAACTACCCCCAAGAGAATATTTTTTCACCTTGCTATCATTAACAATTCCATAAAATCTAATAACATGTTCATTCCTCAATGCAGTCATAATACGCGCCTCTGACCACAAATTGGCAATCTGCTCTTTTTTCATATCCTTTCCAACTAATTGTTTAATAGCTACATCAATAACTGTCCCCCCATCCAGCAATTCCCCCTTATAAACAACTCCATAGGCGCCTTCACCAAGCTTATCCCCAAACCAGACTTTTGCTGAAGACAGTAACCAATGTGGGCGGAGAATTGGGGACTCTAAACGATCACAATCTCCTTTAAGAATTATTGCCTGTTTTGTGCACTTAAATGATAAAAGAACATTTTTAAATAACTGCAAAAATTTACCCAATAAAATTCAACTAATTCTTTAGATGTTGGTTCAGTTGATTTTTGACCTGCTAGATGCCATCCAGAATTATTCTTTTGAAGTAAATAATTTGATATCTGAAAATAGCTTGAATGGACTTTAGATAGAAAATTGTTGGTAAGTTAAACTAGTGTCTAGGAAGGATTTTGAAAATAAGTGGATAAAAAGCGAAATACGAAATGCGAAACTCTTCGCGCTGAAAAATGTGAAATATGCGAAACTCGAAATTAGCCCAGCCCTCATTTGGACCCCAGAAATGTTCTCAAGGGCCCACGAAATGCTCTCAAGCCTTTATAACCAAGTTTAGACGAGCCTTTTCAGGACCACCATAAAGCGTCAAACTCAGAATATGCGAAATACGAAATTAGCCCAGCCCTGCCTTGGATCCCAGAAATGCCCTCAAGTCTTATTCAAGCTTAGACTAGCCTTTTCAGGACCGCCATAAAGCGTCAAACTCAAAGAATCATTTTCTAAACACCGCAAAATAAATTCGTTTTTATTCTTTAAAAGTTCCAAAGCATCAGCATCAGGCAAATAACCACACCAGAAAGGAAATTTTGTGTGATCCTCCTTGATGTTTGAATGTTTTGCTCCCATTGAAGATTTTAGAATAATAGAATGCTTAAATCTGAAAATTGATAAATTACGAGATAGAAAGTATGGATAAAGGAAATAAATGAAATATGGAAAACAAAGAAGTCTTTAAATAGTATCGGATTTTAATGATACCGGATAAGCTTATTAAAAAAATTATTAGAAAGGAAGTAAGCTTTGTATGTATTTCTACAGAAGATAACGAAGGTTATTCGCATTTCCGGGATCCCGTAACGGGATGGAGTTTGATAAGATCGAAGGGTAGTGATCCTGTGGGATTAATCCCATTAATTCCGAAGTCCCGTTAATCCCGTTCTTTTATTAAAATCCGGGATTCCGGTACGGGATCCAGTAAAATCCTGCTCTGGATCTACACTGAATCGACCTCTATTATTTTTTGGCTGTTTTAAAATGGTAAAACGACTCGAGCACAGTGATCCATTTGCACTCACGCGGCGGGACTCAATGATCCCCTACTCACAATTAGTGCCAGTGTAAATTTAATTAAAAGCTTGACCTTTAATTAAAGCTTGCGACTTTTCGGCCCGCGACTATTCGGGCTGTACCCGTGTAAAACCACTTAGCCGCGATTCGCTTTCCATTTATTCTCCATTTATTCTTAGTCCATATGAGGAAGTAACCGACCTGAAAACTATCCAGACTTGAACATCGATTTTTTCCAACTTGACCATCCTTGGTTCATATGTCCTGTTAAATTCTTTATTGTTACTTGTCCTGATACCCAATTTGTGGTTCCTCTTACTCCTTATATAATTAAAAATTTATTGTCATTTTATTAGATGAATGATTCTGACCAACGCAATCAACCAGGTTCAGGTGAAGAACAAAAACCATCAAAACAATCGATGGGTGGAGGACTACCACAAGATCCTGAAAAAATAAAATTGATTCAACAGCAGCTTGTGCTTATTTTGCATGCTCATAAATGTCAACAAAGACAAAAAGTTTTCTTCTTTGTATCGATTTCATTTAATTTAAAAATTTTTTTAATAGTTGGAGCCTCAAAATTGTGGTATTTGTTTTCATCCCTATTGTAGTACTATGAAATCTGTTTTGGAACATTTCGTTAAATGTACGTCTGGACGTCAATGTCAATTTCCTCATTGTGTTTCTTCACGCCAAATAATTTCTCATTGGACAAATTGTAATTTGGAATACTGCCGTGTTTGTACTCCTGTTAAAAAATATACAACTCAACAAGATGCTGGACAAAAACAAGCTATAGATACTATGTTAACTAATTTGCATATTTAAAGCCTCAAAGTCCTAGCCTTTGTTAAACCTTGTCACTTGTTTGAAAGGTCTTACCATTATGTACAATCTTCGGGAAGAAAAATAATGGGGGAGGATCGTTGACAGTTAGTTGCTACAAGTAAAACATTTAAATAAGGGAAGAAAAGTCCGCAAAAAAAAGTCCGCAGAAAGGGCACCTCCATCTTCATAAGTACCATCTTCTCTTTATCAATGTCACTTGTTTGAAAGGTCTTACCATTATGTATGACTTGTCCATCTTCATAAGTACCCAATTAACTACATATGTATGTAGATTTTAGAAAAAAATTTTGGATTTTTAAAATGACTGATTCAAGCGACGAGAATATAAAATTCTATTAAAATATTTTAATATCTAAATAAATTATAAAATTTTATGAAAAATAATAAAGATTTATTAATGGGAAATTAATAATATTTAAAATTAATTTTTATTTTGAATATTAATGAATGAAGATTGAAAAAATAATTTATTGAAATTATTGAAATTTTTATTTTTATTTATTTTTTATTCTTTATATTTCCATCAAAATCTACTAAAAAAAACTTCAATTATTTTGGATTTTCCATTTTCATTTTTAAAATTTTTTTGAATATTATCTCCCATAAAACGAAACCAAATTTGTTCATCTTTATTAAAAACATTCTTTTTCTTTATTTTATCCCCCAATTCTCTTTTATTTAAAAAATCTTTCAAAATATTTTTTGAATTTTTTAACAACATTCTATTCGACAATAAAAAGTCATTAATCTTTCCATTTTTGTTAAAATAAATTTCAAAACTTCCATCATCAAATAAAGGGCCTAAACATAAAAAATTAGTCCCATCGACAATAATGTGTTTAGAATCTGCTATGTCAATAATATCCATTTGTCCGTCTTCAAAGTTTTTCTCATTAGTTTTGACAGCAAAAACATAAATAAATTCTTTTAATTTTTCAAGAAATTTTTTTAAATCTTCCGAAATTATTTTAAATTTCCCAAACAAACATTTTTCTTCCTCTCCATCAAGCTCGACAAAAAATTTTATTGTCTTGAGAGAATATAGTATAAGGTAAATGAAATATTCTCCCTTATTCTTGGATTTAATACAAATATTTATATAACTGTCATAGCCTTCTTCAAAATTCAGATTCCATTCAAATTTAATTAATTGGAACCCTTTGTTTGCTTCCATGACCTCCTCAGGTTCGAAATTAATATTTTTATGAAAGAGAGGCTCTATTTGCATAATATTCTAAAAAATATTAATTTAAAAATATTATTTTTAGTTGAAAAATATTTTTTTTTATTATTTAAGGGTGATTCACGTAGCAGCATTTAAAACGCTTAGGCGGGGGTTAAACGATCTAATAAGGAAAAAGAGAAAGCATTAGTCGATGCCTCGGTAGCTCAGAGGTAGAGCTCCTGCATATAGTGAGCGAAAGCGCCTAGCAACAACTAGCAGGTGGTCGCAGGCTCGAATCCTGCCCGGTGGCTAAACTTTTGCAAACTCTTTCTATTATTCTTTGCTTACCATTCTTGCTCTTCGGAGCCCAATCATAATTCCTTCGCGAAATTTATTAGATTCAGATTTAAAATGAATCTTCGTTAACCCATTGTTAAGATTTTCTGCAAAAGAATGGTCATTGGTGTTATAAAAACCAATTTGGCTTTTTAATTTTATATATAGATCAGAACAGTCTATTTCCGGTAAATAACATTCCAATCAGACATGCACGAAACGTTTCGTTTCGTTTCGTTGTTTCGTTAGTTTCGTTATGTTTTTTCCTGTTTCGTCTCGTTTCGTGACGAAACACTTTTTAGTTTGTTTCGTTTCGTTTTGTTAACGAAACACCTCTGTTTCGTTAACGAAACATTACCCATTTTTTAGACCAAAATATTACCCAAAAACTGAAAAATTTTCCCATTTGGTGATCAAAATTCAAAAAATTTTTGCCTGCGGCGCTGAACTCTGGATTTTAAGCGCCTACGGCGCCTAATTTACTATATTTTTTTTGAATTTCTCGTTTGATTTGGTTTTTTTAATACGCAAAGCTCAAATTCTATGCTAGATTAGGCATATAGAATCTATCTACCTCTTAATGCCAATCAGGGCAGGCGCAAGAGTTTCAATAAAGTTAGCAACTGATGGTAGTGATCATGAATATGGTTGCCTTTTTTCGGGCCTGTTTCTATCGATTCGGGCCAGACAAGTCTTTTCGGGCCAAATATCTTAGGCCCGACTCGATCTTTTGGTCCGAGTCGGTCCATTTTGGCAACCCTAATCATTAACGTTGTTATCAAAAAAAAATCTGAGTTGAGAAATATATCATTGGATTTGGCGGGAGCAATGGTGGTATATGAAATTGGAAGAGAGTAAACGGGATATCGGTGGATTTGGAGGGTTTAAAAAATTTAAAAAAATGTCGGGAATCAGGAAGGGGTTTGGGGGATAGTAATTTCCGACAAAATTAATTCCCGATTTTAGGGAATCAGGAGACGGGTCGTCAGGTCCCTGATATACACATATGCTCAACACATAATTCGATTAAAGTTGATTTGGTGGAATTAAGGCTGATATAGTGGAGTATGAGTAACCTGGGACCACAATTTAAGATCCCGCCAAGCTATTAGATCAATTATAGGCCATAACTGGCCTATTAACGTGTCTAAAATCTAATATTTAATAAAATAAAACAGTTTTTATTAAATTTTTTGAAAGTTAAAATGTTTCGTTTTGTTTCGTTTCGTTTCGCTAAATTTTTACTGTTTCGTCTCGTTTCGTTAACGAAACGATTTTAAAAAAATTTTGTTTCGTTTCGTTTCGTCTGAAAAAATTTTGGAGTTTCGTGCATGTCTGATTCCAATTCAACAGACAAATCAAAATTATTTATGTTTATTCTTTTTAATTTGTAATGATCAATGAAATTACGACCATAATAATGAAATCGGAATCGTTGACTTTTTTGTTCAATTGCCAAAGAATTTAGAAATATTGGAAAAATAAATTGAATAAAATATGTAATTTTTGTTGACATTGACATTGACAAGTATAATCTAGAAATTATTTATTGTTTTATTTAAGTATTGTAAAGCATATAGCTTTTAATTCCTAAGGCTGTGCAGTAGGCGGCGTGGTGTAATGCCTAACACATCAGTCCGTCTACTGCAGGTGCTGGTTCGCTCCCAGCCGCCGATTAACCTTTTGTACTAGCTAAAGGAGAGAAATAGCTATAGCCCAGCTGCTTTACTATAATAACAAAGATGGTATTATCTCCCACCATTTTATTTTTCTTCTCCTTTTTTCCGAATTTGATAGGTTTTCATACTCTATCCAATTCTAAAATCGTAGATAAGTTGAAAGCCCTCGATATTCCAACTGAATGGATCAAGTCTGATGTTCAGTAAAATATTAGAAGTGTGTGAGTCGAAGAAATCGATGTTTTTCACATTTATCTCACTTCCTAATGGGCGATCAGACATGATCCATCAAGAGCGCGAATGATTCAAGTTTCATTCGGATTGGATCAAGCATATGAAAGTTAATTCGGGAAATCGAGAAGAAAAAGAGAATTGTGGGAGATAACCAAATAGTACCGTTTTAATTTTAAATTTACTGTTAAATTGTTTAAAAATTTAAGTTAGATTACGTCAAATTAAAATTTTCTCCTCTTATTTATGCTAATTTATTTGCACTTTTGTTTATTTATGTATAGACATAAATTTTAAAATATGTACTTCGGCAATATTAAAGAAAATCAAAGATATTGGTAATTATTAAAATATTTTCATTTTATGTCACACAGACAAAATTATCTTTCACATAGAATTTTCAAAATATAAGGGTTGCGTCGTAATTACGAATTGCGATTACGAATTACGATTACGAAAATATCGGGAAAAATTACAAATTACGAAAATAAAAATTACGAAAAAATATTATTGCAAGAAAAACCCTCACGTACTTTTCATCAAATTTTTGAAGGAAAACGTTAAGGATATTTATAATTTCTTTCAGTTTGTTTTTTAATTGTTTTTTTAAAAAATAAATGTTTTTAAATTTTGATTTTAATTTAAATTTGTAAATTTATTTTTTTTAATATCTTAAAATTGAAAAAACTTTAAAATTTTTAATTTAGAATTTCAAGTTTTGCAACCAAGACAAAGATTAACAAGTGCTTCAGGCATTGAATTATGGAAATAATCCTGATCGGTTACATAAGCCACATAATTTAGAAAAAGACTAAGATTGTTTGCACAATTGAAGCAGAATTCAATTAAATGAAGCAATTCTGCATATCTTTTAGCTCCTGCCAATGGTCCATAGTTATTCTGAAATAGAATCATGCTGATGAAAAATTCATTGAATGGGAGATGAAATAGAACTATCAGGGAATGAGCCCAGAAAGAAACAACCGACTGTGCCACCAACCCGGGCCCGTAGAATAAATTCGGGGTTGGATAACCCGGTGAAACAACCCAGTGCAAATAACCCTTAGCTACGGGTTAAAATCGGTAGAATAAATTCAACCCCGAGTTAAGGGTTATTTAACACCGAGCTAAAGGTTATTTAACTAGTTGAGTTACTGGGTTATTTGACCCTTTATATTTTATTGCCAAATCCATTTCGCAATAATTGTTTCCGCAATAATTGTTATTATTAAAAAGAGATATAGTCAAATGAAAAAGTTTAAAAAATTTATAAAATTTTTAATTGTTGAATAAATTTTGCTTCAAAAATTTTTTAAAAGTTTTTGTTAAAAAATTTTTGTTAAAAAAATTAAAAAATTTTTGTTAAAAATTTTTTTATGCGTTTTGAATAGAAATTAAAATTTTTAAAAATTTTGCAATTTATTAAATGTTTTAATTTTTTGGAAATTATGCATAATTCGCATGTTACCCTGCCTCCTAGTAGGGTTGCAATTTGCCCCTTACCTGCGGGTTATTTAACCCGGGTAATTAATTTATTCTACCGGTAATGTTACGCGGGTCAGATAGTC